TGTGTAGGGAAACACCAAATTTAGATTACTGCTGTTATACGAATGTGTATTGCATGCTTTATGTTTTACATGTCAATAATTTGGCTATAGCTGGATCCATGGCGGTGTTTGAGTGGACAGCTGACCACTGAATGTATGTTTGAGTGGACAGCTGACCACTGAATGTATGTTTGAGTGGACAGCTGACCACTGAATGTATGTTTGAGTGGACAGCTGACCACTGAATGTATGTTTGAGTGGACAGCTGACCACTGAATGTATGTTTGAGTGGACAGCTGACCACTGAATGTATGTTTGAGTGGACAGCTGACCACTGAATGTATGTTTGAGTGGACAGCTGACCACTGAATGTATGTTTGAGTGGACAGCTGACCACTGAATGTATGTTTGAGTGGACAGCTGACCACTGAATGTATGTTTGAGTGGACAGCTGACCACTGAATGTAGTGAATAACGCCCACTCCGACAATGACAATGGATTCAGGGCTAATAATCATACATGCAAAAGCGAAGTCAGTCATTACAGAGTCACATTGAACTCGGCATTCTTGCATACTTAATTGTATTTTCAAAATAACCTCTTAGATTTATTATCTCTTAGATTAATTATGTGATTTTTTTTATGTGATTTGCCCCGGGGTATTTGATATCAACAGCTGAGTAGATTATACTCAGAGACTCAAATAAATTACAGTTTTTGCCAATGACAATATTGTTTATTGACATTAGTTTAATAAGTTTGATATTATAGTGAAATATCTTCTATGTCACATGACCATGTGTAATTTAACGTGAAATATTGCCCCTTTTAAAATGTATTGACCCACAAATTAATGAATATTCATGAGCACAGAAACTGCTACGTCATGAATAAATTAGCATAATTTAAAAAAAAAATTGCATAAAGTGTAGGTACTCCTTCTGGAGCTCTGCCCCATGTGTAATTTAACGTGAAATATTGCCCTTATATGGTAGTATAATATTCATAATAAAAAATTGATTGTAACTTTAAAGGGCAGTGGTCGTCAGGTAGCGCATGTTCGAATTTCAGGTAAATAGTGTATTACATGCATTGTGTATGTCGTTATGAGTCCCACATCAAACAGGATGCAGCATGATGACCACCGCCCTTTTATACTATTAAAGATTAACTAATAATTTTGTTGATCATGGAAATAAGTTGCACTGCCAGCAATGAGATTTATGCATCAGATGACATTGAGTTTACATTAGAAGATGTAGACACAGTTTCTATTGTGTCAAAATAGTGTAAATATGTCGGCTGTTTGTTTTTTTCGTCACCTTTTTTAAAGTCAACCTGCTTAATTAATCTCTATTAATTATTATTTTTTAAAACTTGGTACTAACATTGACCATAATTGAACTTCGATGGATGTCATTTTTTTTTCTCTGACAATCCCTGACTGACTTACATTTACATTTCACAGCAGGTCACAAATATTAAGATGAATTTGTTTAAAGTTCTGATTCAAAATGGCTTACTCATTTCAGTTTTGTTTACTCATATTATGGCTAGTTTGTTCTGTGTTTTTTTTCCCCAAAAATCTGATCAAGAATGTAATAAATATGAAATTAATTCCATTTGGTCCAATATTAATTAAGAAATTATAGAAAAATACAAAAATGTGCAAAATGTTGCACCAAATCTTGCTGAGCAAAAAATTTGGCGTACAAAAAAAATTAGCTTTTTCATAACATATTACAATATAGCTTTTATAGTTACAGAAATATGTGTTTATATCTATAATGTCAATACATTTCAATTCATCACAAAATAAATAATCACAGATTGTATGAAGAGTATAATATGTAGGCCAAAGATAATACTGTAAAATTGTAATTTGTCTCAAACAGCCAAAGATGGTATCACAGAAACAACAGCTGTTATCACTCAAACAGGCTGTGATGTATGGTTACCATGGTAACAAAAATAATTGGCTCTGTTGACTGTGTCAATATTTAGTTCAGTTAATTTTAGCTTTTAAAATTTATGATTGTAATAATTAGCAAGTTGGTTAGTTTGGTATGAGCATTATGCAGCTGTTGCAACTACAGTGGTCTGACCCCCTTCACCTTATGTCGATCCTGGTGACCTTTGTCCCTGTATACTGCACATCCTTATTGGATGACTCAATATAGCAGGAACTGCTGTAAAGGTCAGTTATCTTTGCTTTTAGAAGAGAGGTGGCACTTCAAATGATTTTGAAGAAGGAGGTGGTGAGGAAAATAACGATAAGAAAAAGAAGAATCAGAAAAAGAAAAAAGGCGGTGAAGGAAATGAAGATGCCACCAAGGGGGAGTTGGGTTTCATGTTTCCAGCAGCTTTCAATCGAAAGTAAGTTATTCATAAATATTAATTGACCAATTACTGAATTGTTTTTGTGCTGTAAATCCAGTAAAAATTAGAATGGTGTAATTTTATTCAATCTTTAAAAAAAAAACACATTTATGATTAATTTATATTATTTTTTCTACTCCCCAGATATAAAGTGAGATTCAGTTATTTAGGTCCATCTAAAAATCATTTAGAGCTAAAAACTGGTGATATAGTGGAAGTAACAGAAGAAGACAACTATGGTCTCTATAAGGGTAGAATTGGAAAGAGACAAGGATGGTTTCCTATGGGCTATGTGGAGGAATACCATGGTAAGATTATACTGTATGTCATGCATTGTGATTATGGTTGATTGGTTCACTGGGACGGTTGACAGGTTGGCCAGTAAAGTTGACTGGGTTGGTTGACAGACTGGCCAATAAAGTTGACTGGGTTGGTTGACAGGTTGGCCAGTAAAGTTGACTGGTATGGTTGACAGGCTAGCCAGTAAAGTTGACTGGGTTGGTTGACAGGTTGGCAGTAGAGTTGGATGGGATATTTCACAGGTTGGCCAGTATAGTTGACTGGGTTGGTTGACAAGTTAGCCAGTAGAGTTGACTGGGATGGTTGACAGGTTGGCCAATAGAGTTGACTGGGTTGGTTGACAGGTTGGCAATGAAGTTGACTGGGGTGGTTGACAGGTTGGCCAGTAAAGTTGACTGGGATGGTTGACAGGTTGGCAATGAAGTTGACTGGAATGGTTGACAGGTTGGCCAGTAAAGTTGACTGGGGTGGTTGACAGGTTGGCAATGAAGTTGACTGGGATGGTTGACAGATTGGCCAGTAGAGTTGACTGGGATGGTTGACAGGTTGGCCAGTAGAGTTGACTGGGATGGTTGACAGGTTGGCCAGTAGAATTGACTGGGATGGTTGACATGTTGGCCAGTAGAGTTGACTAGGATGGTTGACAGGTTGGCCAGTAGAGTTGGCTTGGATATTTCACAGGTTGGCCAGTAGAGTTGACTGGGATGGTTGACAGGATGGCCAGTAGAGTTGACTGGGATGGTTGACAAGTTGGCCAGTAGAGTTGACTGGGATGGTTGACAGGCTGGCCAGTAGAGTTGACTGGGATGGTTGACAGGTTGGCAAGTAGAGTTGACTGGGATGGTTGACAAGTTGGCCAGTAGAGTTGACTGGGATGGTTGACAGGTTGGCCAGTAGAGTTGACTGGGATGGTTGACAGATTGGCCAGTAGAGTTGACTGGGGTGGTTGACAGGTTGGCCAGTAGAGTTGACTGGGGTGGTTGACAGGTTGGCAATGAAGTTGACTGGGGTGGTTGACAGGTTGATCAGTAGAGTTGACTGGAATGGTTAACAGGTTGGCCAGTAGAGTTGACTGGGATGGGTGACAGGTTGGCCAGTAGAGTTAACTGGAATGGTTGACAGGTTGGCCAGTAAAGTTGACTGGGATGGTTGACAGGTTAGCCAGTAGAGTTGACTGGGGTGGTTGACAGGTTGGCAATGAAGTTGACTAGGGTGGTTGACAGGTTGGCCAGTAGAGTTGACTGGGGTGGTTGACAGGTTGGCCAGTAGAGTTGACTGGGTTGGTTGACAGGTTGGCCAGTAGAGTTGACTGGTATGGTTGACAGGTTGGCCAGTTGAGTTGACTGGGATGGTTGACAGGTTGGCCAGTAGAGTTGACTGGGATGGTTGACAGGTTGGCCAGTAGAGTTGACTGGGGTGGTTGACAGGTTGGCCAGTAAAGTTGACTGGAATGGTTGATTGGTTGGCCAGTAGAGTTAACTGGGGTGGTTGACAGGTTGGCCAGTAGAGTTGACTGGGTTGGTTGACAGGTTGGCCAGTAGAGTTGACTGATATGGTTGACAGGTTGGCCAGTTGAGTTGACTGGGATGGTTGACAGGTTGGCCAGTAGAGTTGACTGGGATGGTTGACAGGATGGCCAGTAGAGTTGACTGGGGTGGTTGACAGGTTGGCCAGTAAAGTTGACTGGAATGGTTGACAGGTTGGCCAGTAGAGTTGACTGGGATGGTTGACAGGTTGGCCAGTAGAGTTAACTGGGGTGGTTGACAGGTTGGCCAGTAAAGTTGACTGGAATGGTTGATAGGTTGGCCAGTAGAGTTGACTGGGATGGTTGACAGATTGGCCAGTAGAGTTGACTGGGTTGGTTGACAGGTTGGCCAGTAGAGTTGACTGGGGTGGTTGACAGGTTGATCTGTAGAGTTGACTGGAATGGTTAACAGGTTCGCCAGTGAAGTTGACAGGGATGGTTGACAGTTTGGCCAGTAGAGTTGACTGGGGTGGTTGACAGGTTGATCAGTAGAGTTGACTGGAATGGTTAACAGGTTGGCCAGTGGAGTTGACAGTTAGGCCAGTAGAGTTGACTGGGATGGTTAACAGATTGACCAGTGAAGTTGACTGGGATGGTTGACAGATTGACCAGTGGAGTTGACTGGGATGGTTGACAGTTTGATTGGGTCGTTATTTTGTGACTACATTTGTGACATGGTAGTGGAAAGTGATTTAAGTTCTAAGAAATTGAGACAATAATTAATTTTGTCAACCTGTTGTTTCAGAATCGCACATCAATGTAGCTTTTGATGATGATAGTGGCAGTAGTAGCTCTACCGGAATAAGAAGCAGAAGCATGTCAACATTTATGAAGGATGGTTCAGGGAATGTGTCAAATGTTGATGATAATGAAGCCATCAACACATCAGTGTTAATACATTGCATTGAGGAATCTCCTCATAATGCAGAAAGTAGTGATGATGATGGTGATGATGATCATGATGATGATCATGATGATGATCATGATGATGATGATAGGAATGCACAGATTCCTAGAAATGATGAAGAAAATGATAAAACAGAGAGAGACTTGCAAGATGGTGTATGGTTGAAAGAATTATCATCTTCAAATGTTCAAAAAAATGACAAAGTTGCTGCGGAAAAGCTGACTGTCTCTTCTAGCAAGGATGATTCAATGTCTAATTATGTAGTGGTTGGATTTGGTAAGAAAAAACCTGTAAATCAAGATCCAGATCTTGTAGACATCAAATTCTTAGAGGAGACTGAACCTAACACTAGTAAATCCAGTCAAAATATTTCCACTTATTCTGATAGCGGAACTCAGAGAAACGCAGCTGATTTTGCTGACCCAATGAAGAAGCTTGCTGCAATGTTAAAAATGAAGAGAAAAAATTTAGATTCCGATTCTGATAATAGTGATAAAGATGATATTATGGCAGATGACAGTTCAATGAACAGAGATAGAGTTGAAAATAACCCAATGCATACTAATGTGCAGTTTAGTGTAAAGAAAAGAAAGGCCCCACCTCCTCCCTCGCAGAGTGTTTCAAATGTAAAAGAAGATGTGGAGAAAGACGACAACATTACAGCGAAGAAGGAGATAGCAAATAAAGGTGGGTTTATTAAAGGTTGTTGCTATGTGTAGTGTTTTTTAAAGGCCTCATACAATGTATACAACATATTAATATATGTAAACTTTGAATATGCAGCTTGACAACCATCGACTTTTAATATTATTATTAGTTGATTTTTTATTATTCATCCAATTAAAGATGAATACTCAGTCGCTAAATTTGTTAACCAATTTTGATAAAACTGAAAATACGGTTTTGTTAATTGTAGTTTCATATGCACTGTTCAACACTTTTCTATTTTTGTTTAGGCACACATACATACATACTTGTCTACCCACCACACATGCATAAATATATTATTAATCTGTTATGTGTGTATAGAGAGATGTTGGTTGCCATGGTGACAACAATTTATCTAAGTTAAAATATTTATATGTGCAGAGACATGTGTGCAACAGGATTCTGGAGAGCCAATTATATGAAAATATGGTAACAAGAACCAAAGCATCAGCTCAGCCAAGCCTACAGATACAAGCAGTGAAACGGCCATCTACTTTGAAAACTGTACCCTCACCACCACTACAGGAGTCACCATTGCCAGAATCAGTCCATCAAAGCATACTACAGGAGTCGCCATTGCCAGAATCAGTCCATCAAAGCCATTCGATAACTGCAATAAAACAGCCATCTACTTTGAAAGTTATACCCTCACCACTACAAGATTCACCATCGCCTGAATCAGACCATCCAAACCCATCGATAACTGCAATAAAACGGCCATCTACTTTGAAAGTTATACCCTCACCACCACTACAAGATTCACCATCGCCTGAATCAGACCATCCAAACCCATCGATAACTGCAATAAAACGTCCATCTACTTTGAAAGTTATACCCTCACCACCACTACAAGATTCACCATCGCCTGAATCAGACCATCCAAACCCATCGATAACTGCAATAAAACGTCCATCTACTTTGAAAGTTATACCCTCACCACCACTACAAGATTCACCATCGCCTGAATCAGACCATCCAAACCCATCGATAACTGCAATAAAACGTCCATCTACTTTGAAAGTTATACCCTCACCACCACTACAAGATTCACCATCGCCAAAGCCAGCAGCATCTCATGCACCTAAGCAGAAATTCTACCAAGCGCTGTATAATTACAATGGAAGTGGATCAGGTGAACTTGACCTCATAATTAACGATATCCTGATAATCCTAGAACGAAGCCCAAATGGATGGGTCAAAGGTCGATTGGAGAAGAATGGTCTGTCTGGTTGGTTGCCCCAGTCATATATTGAAGAGTGGACACTTGATTCTGTAAGTAAAATACAATTGTTTTTTAAGCCATTAGAATAACCTATCAAGCGGAAATATTTAATGACATGTTAAAACATGTCTTTGAATTTTAAATCTGAATATTCAAAGCATTTCTATGTTCTTTATATTTTCAAGGTTGAATTTTATTTTTTTGTGTTTTTGTCATTTAATCTTTTCATACATTTCATGTAACAGTAAAGGGAAGGATATAATTTTGACTTTTGATTAGTGTTCTATCTTACTGTAAAGTACCCTTTTTAACTTATATTCAATAAATTTTGGCTATATTCACTGAAGGAATGAATCACTGACAAATAAAATATAGTGAAAATACCTTTTTTCCCTATATTTTATATTCAATTTATTAAAAATCTTCATCCAAAAAAGCCAAAATGTCATTTCAGCAAAATATTTCGTTTAAATATAACCTTTTGCATAAATCCGTAGGATAGATGAAAACCATATCTCCATTTGACATGCTTAAGTGGAAATATATTTTTAACCAAAATACTTACTTTTGTTCTAGGTATAAAAAAAAACATTCAGCCTTTCAAACCACTAGAGGGCTGCCTGGCTATGTCGAATTTTCATTGTCATAATTCAATCTTTCTTTCAGAAGTATTTTAGTATTGTCATTGCAATTGCAGCATACATGTGTCATGCATCAAATCATCATTTGGTCAGCTCATCTATTACATCTATTCATCTAGGTTGCTATAGTAATAGGTAGGAATTTATTTGTTAACCTGGTCTTTTTGTTCTCGTACATCATCAAAATACTTCAATGCAAAATTTGAGTCAAGAGTTAATTTTATAATGAATTATTTGCTACAGAGTTCATTATATCTATCGAAAATCATTTTATAACAAGTATCATTTCTTCATCAGTTACTGTGTATCCTAGCAAATGTTCATGATACTCTAGTCCTGTAACTAGGCATTAATGGAGATTTATTTGTTCATCTTAAGGCATATATATCACTGCAATTATCAATGAATATGCAAGCATTCAATTAAAATGAAGACAATAATGACATTTTAAATATTTCAATAATTCTAATCTGGAGACTTTGAAATTCAAATGTTAATTTTTATCTTTTGTGCATTATATTATATTGTATAAAAATAAATAATCTATTTTCAGGATTTGCAAGAAATCAAAAATGATGGTCATAGTGATGATTTTGAAGAGGGCGTAGGTATGTATGTTAATTTGTTCTAAGCAGAAGTTGGTTAAATGGAATAATATGAGCTTAAGCATTCTTAGCCAATCGGATTAATCTTCATCCATTTCTAGCCAATCATATTAGTCTTCACAAGTTTTTAACAAATCAGATTAAACCTCATTCATTCATAGCCAATCAGATTAAAACCACACCCATTTTTCAGCTAATCAGATTAA